TTTTATTTTTATGTGGTGCTGAGGATCGAACCCAGCGCCTCCGCATGCCAAGTGAGCGCCTTACCGCTTGAGCCACATCCCCAGCCCAGGATAGAATTTTTGGATTAGAAAATTTCATGACATTATTTTGTCATGTGATTGTAATACATTTGGAGGTTTACTAGCTTGCTTATACACCTAGAGAGAATAGACATAATTTCTTAGGCAACTAACTCACTCCCAGTGAGTGAAAGCTGCTTATGAATCAGGAGGCTGAGACATCTGCTCTTTCTGATGGATGATCAGGTGACATCTCCACAAGCCTTTGAGAGTGATTTTTTTGGGGGGGAGGGATTGGAGAATGGAATCCATTTTCACCACATATGGCAAGGGGTGGCTCTATTACAGTCCACCAATACTAATCTGATTTCTTCCCTATGGCAACTCTGTTTTTGTCTTTTTCCTATGCCCAGTGGAGTTTAGCAGTTTAGTGAGGACAATGAACTTGTATAACAGAGGCCAGCTCTCCCATCAATATTTAGAAAACTCCCCAAGACAGTTCATGCCTTTGTGAATCAACACAGCACATTTACAAGTCAATAAATTCCACTTTGAAAATGTCAGGAGTTTAGTTTCTGGTCAGCCACTAAGTATTTCTGGGTAGCTTTCACTTCACACTTATAAAAATAAAATTGTTTAAGACTCAGATAAATTGTCATCCAAAAGCAAATCTTTGTAATTTGGGAAAGCATTCCTTTTCTTTCCCTCCAGGGATAGATATTCCACCATGCTGGCTATTTAAATATGGCAGAATAAGGTTTCCCATTGTGAATCAAAAAACAAATCTTTCACGCATGAAGAACTAATGGCCCCAATCAGGGAAGGATTTCAAATTAAGATAAAGCTAAGCAAAGTACAACAGTGGCTTTAAACATCAGGTGGAAATTCTGAGTAATATTATATAGAAAACTATCTCAGCAAAGTTTCAGGCTCTAGAAACTCAAGTTCAGTATCCTTGGTAAACCACCCTTGAAGGGGACCCACCTCTCTTAGAAACTGTTGGATTAGTATGTTTGTCATCACGCATACAGAAACCTGATTTTAGGGGTTGAATAAGCTTCCATTTCTGCAGACATTGGTGGTCAGGCAAATGGGAATGTAATATTTCAAAGAAAAGAGGGAAAAAGCTCATGAATAATGAAAGATGCAGAGCAGAAGATGCTATTCTAAAATAAAATGAAAGTTGATGTGGACCTAGCATAAGACAACGTTTTAGATTAGAATTTAACCTCGACACCAACCTACTTTAGTTACGGGAAACTGAAGGAGGAAAGGAACATTTATTGAGTATCAAAGGTGTATCCAAACCTGTGGCAGGTGACTCACAGAGACTCTCTGTTCTCATCCTTCTACCCACAAATAGAGGTGGCAGAATACCATCTTATAGCCAAAGGGACTGAGTGCAAAAAAGACTAAGTGATTTGCCTGGCTCACAAGGCTCATGAATGCTAAAATCAAGATTTGATATTAGAGTCCACTGAAATTTTAAGCCTTGTTCTTTACTGGGAAAACCTACTGAGACTGTTTGCCCTTTAAGGTAAAAGGGTGACATCGGCAATTCACACTGAAGATAGGGTCACTTCTCCATCACATAAAAAGTCCCCTCTCACTCCCAGTATTGGGGATAGAACCCAGGGCCTTGCACATGCTAGGCAAGCAAGTGCTCCTCCACTATGCTACACCCTCAGCTCCACGAAGAGTCGCTTTGGTGGAGGTGGGAATTAGTCTGAGATAATTAAAGAATTTATGCTAAATCTCCTGGCACACCCTGGTGATGTGGGCATTAGGAATCATTCAGAAGGAGCTGGCCCCAAGGGTGCAGGGTTCTGTTGGCCCTGCCCAAGCTAGGAGACACAGCCAGGGCTCACCTCACAGCTGGAGCAGCTGGGCACAAACTTAGAAGATTAAACCAGATCTTCTCAGGCAGGATTTGTGCTAAGAAGAATATAAAACAATGTAACAGAGATTTCCTGGGAAGGGAACACAACAGTTTCAATGTCCTACCTTATCTAATCAGTGAGGAAAGCTTAAGGAAGAATTCCTGGGTCCAGGAGTAAGCACTTGAGAAGACTCCCAGAAATAATTCTATACCCAGCGAAACATACTTTGGGTTAATCACCTCCTCCCCAGATCAGCAACTATAATGGGTTGAATAGACCCTCCCCCCATTTCATGTTGACCCAGAACCACAGAATGTGATCTTATTTGGACATGGGCTTCTGAGATCTAATTAAAGATATTAAGATGGAATCATCCCAGACTTAGGGTGGTCTCTAAATCCAAAGACTATATATATTTATGGGGTATAACGTTATGTTCTGATATGTGAAGTGACTAAATAATGCTAGTTAATATATCCTTCATCTCACATATATGTTTTTGAGACTATTTAAGATATTCTCTCATAGGATTTTCAAGTTCAGTGACTGGTATCTATGAGAAAGAAGAGGAGAATTTGGACGTAGAGATGTAGGAAATAAGGCCATGTGAAGACACAGGCAGAGACTGAAGTGATGTTGTCACAAGCCAAGGAAATGCAGTGGCACCACAACCTGGGACTAGCAAGGAGGGAACCTCCCCTAGCACCTTTGGGAGATCAGGGATCTTCAGACAACTTGATCTTGGGCTTATGGCTTCCAGAACCATACAAGAGTAAGTTTCTGTTGTGATCAGCCACCAAATTTGTGGTAATTTGTCATGGCATCCTCAACAACTTCATACAATGACACAGAACTATCAAGCATTTCACAAATACAAGAAAGCACAGCAACCCTACTCCTGGACTATTGTCTAATAATGATGATATAACGCCTCTGTGACTTTGAAAATGACAATGGCAAAAACTTGGTCATAGAGGACCAAGTATTTCTCACTTCCCTGGCATACTGGGAACCTGTTGGGGCTGTGGCTGAGAATCACCACCCCACAGTATAGGAACAAAGAAGGATGTGCTGCTGTCTGACTATCCTGAGTGGAAGCCTCCCACTTCCCCAGCACAGCCCAGAGCCTCAGTTCCAGGAGGGAGCCAGCCTCACCCTGTGCCAGTCTTGTGGTATTATGGGCAGTTGCCAGAAAAGGTGTGCCCAGAATGTGCTTTTGTTTGTTTTGTGTTATTTTTTACAACTGCTGAGAATTGGGTGAGGCAAGTTCAGGGCATTCTCATACGTAAGCTGGCAGGAACAACTGCTACCACGGACCAGGAGCGCTGTGAGAAATGGCCCTGGCTAGGTGACACACTGTATCCCTGAGGGGTCCCTGACACTTCCCTAAACACCCTTCCCTGCTGTCTGTGGGAGGTAGGGGTATGTCACAAGTCAGGGACAGGCCCTGCCCACAAATTCTTTAAATTCATTTGTGTAAAATGTACATCCATTATCATTAAAAAATAGGATTTTGCACTTTGGGTGCAAGTAATTTTTGTAGGGCTGAGATGGAGTTGAGAGAAGTTTGAGATAAAATTAGGAGTCCTTTGGTGAACGGTGAACAGCTCAATACCTGGCTTATTGCCTGACCACAGCAAATAGGTAGGGCCACGTGGCCACTGTGTGCTTTCACATCCCCTCTATGGCTTTGCAGAAAGCCTATCAATAGGAGGACATTGAAGGAGCCTATTCCATGTAGTAGGAGCACCTGTTCTCTTCCACCAGCCTCCTCAGACTTGTAAATCAGGCCTTGTGCCATAACACTTGCCCTGCCCACACAGACACACCAGCGTTCCAAGTCCTCCTTCTGGCCTCAGCCTGGTTTACTTACCTTGCTATCAAATCCTGACCGAGGAAAGCCACACTCCTCTACTACAAAGCACCACAGTGTTAACCAAAAAGAGCTCCAGAAAAATAAGGACAAGAACACCAAACATATTGAACACTCAATGGAGAAAACTGTTCCCACGTGGAGGACTAGATTTCCAACATGCAGGTGGCAATGACACTGATTCAGCATACAAGCCAATCCATTAAATTTAACTTACGATAAAGAAAAACCTGCAAGTGCACACACATACACATATCCTCTTGGCTCAGTTATCCCAGGATAGCAGACTAAATACCTCATTTTTCAGTATCCTTATTTCCCCACTTGCTGTTTTCCTTGGGTGCTTTTACTAATGATCATCATTCCTCCTGAAAAATGAGAGTAGTGTGCAACAAGCTGAGACAGCTGCACTTCTTGTTTAATGGAAATATTTGCCCTCCTTTTCAAAGGTAGACAGACACCTGCTCTACGTGCTCTCAGGGCTCCTTCTCCATTTACCTTTGCAATCTGCACACACCAGTTGAGTAGGTACTGGGAACCGATGTTGTCCTTGTGTTCTCGGACATAGTCCAGGAGGCAACCAAAGGGCATGAGCTGAGTGATAAGCTGGACGGTGGAGGTCAGACAGATACCCAGGAGGCGGCACACATGAGGATTGTCCACACTGGCCATCACATAGGCTTCCTGTAAGGGAACAAGAGAGGATGGCATCAGAAAGGTTCCCTAACAGTGACTAAAGGAAGAGACACATGGATCCTTTTTTCCATGTAAAAAAAAAAAGCATGAGCATGAATTTCAAAATATGTACTGTTGTAAGGGACATTTTTTAAGAGCTGTGAAATGACAAGAGACTTTGTGGGAGATGGACCCTCTTGTGTGTATCTAGGGATTCCACTTGACAGAGAAACCCAGGTGACAATTCCCATTGGCAAAACATTGGTTGAACAAAGGACCTGGGTCACTCTAATGTCCCCATGTTTGGGAACTGCTGTAATCTTCCTTAGGAAGATTCTGACTCAAGGATAAAGATGCTGTCAGAGCCTGAGTTTTGGGACTAGGACACTGTGGACAATGACTTGCTCACATTATCAGAAGCTCTCACCATAGGCACTACTGAGACATGATGGTAAGCATGTTCAGGAAAGTCACTGACGCAGCAACCAGCCAGCAAGAAGCCCACTCTTTTCAACAGAACAAACTTGGCCCTGACTGAGCAATGGGAGGGTATTTGGGACAGAAACACTGCCTACAGCACTTCTCCAAAGAGTAATTGGAAAACATCTTTTTGTGTACCAGCTCCAGCCCCTGAAACGGACATTCAATCTATGATGACTATAGATTCCATTGGCTGCTCAAGATCCAACTCTGAAGAACGTGGTCTGTATTGCCTTGCCCTAGTCTCCTGATGGGAAAAACATGCTGCTCTGCATAATGCATCCATTCCTGCCCCATTCATTTAGGCTGACTGCCAAGGCAGGAGACTTTGACAGACCCATGAATATAGACTTTATTTTAACCCTTCTGGTATTCTTAGGCTGAGAAAGCTTCATTTATTTGCAATCATGTGCACAATGGGATCCTTTCTTGTGTCTAACTGAGAACTAGGGAATCCTCAATTTCCACCCATAAATTCTCTTTCCCTTTAAAATACAAATGGTGGTGACCTTTTATTTGGATGTGAAAGAGACAACATGAACTGCAAGAGAATGAGATCAGAGGTTCCTTTCCATATTTCTGCAACTGCTGTGTTTAGAGTGTAGCCCAAGAGACAAGGTGAGGCCAGGGATGCTCAGGTATGTGGCATAAACTGGGCAAGGAGGCTGGAACATAGGGTTGAAGACAGAAGACAGTCATGGTGAGGATGGCAGGGAGAGGGCATATGTGTGTGTATTTGTGTGCAAATTTATATTTATTAATTTATTGTGTATGTGTGTGTATGAAAATATGCATGTCTATCTGTCTATCTATCTATACTTTGTGGTAGTAGGGATGAAACCTAGGGGCATGCATATGCTAGGTACATGCTCAGTCACTGAGCTACATATCCACAGCCCCTGTATATGTATTTAAACACAAATATGATCACAGCACTTTTCTTGCCTTGAACCCTTCCCTGGGTCCTCACCATTCTTGGGAAACTCTTGCTGCCTGCTCTCCCCTCAGGCCTCTTCCACTGGAGAGCCTCTGTCCCCAAAGGCCCTCCTGATTTTCTCAGGAACCTCACTGACACCCCATTAAAATGTCCCTGGCATCTTGCAGGGTTTTTATTTATTTATTTTTTTATTTTTTTATTTTTTCAGGGAAGCAGTCCCAGCATTGCCTGAGAACTTGTAAGAGGTAAATTCTTGCAGCTCCCCTTAGGCCTAGAAGGGAGATGCCATTTCTTTGAACAAGCCCTTGGGAGATTCTTGATGAAGCTGCAGAGCCACTGCTTTGGAGAACACGTCCTAATCTATACTTATCTGTGTAATTTAAAACAGGTCCTTCCCCCACCAAGTTTTCAAGAGATGGACTACATTCTCATACCTAGCAGCATAGGCTTAGAGTATAGCTGGCGCTCGATAGTACTAGATCACACCAGCAAATGTTTCCTTATTTGTTGCCTCAAAACCCATCCTCTAACAAATAGGAGATACTTTCTTGATTGTTTATGGTCTCTATTTTCAAGCAGGATATGCATTTTTCTATTATAAACATAATTTAATTTTTAAGCAGGATATGAATATTTTCTATTACAAAAACAATATTACAACATTAAAGAGCAGAGTAGATATTTAAAACCTGTTGACTCTGGGGTCATTGAAAATATCCTTAATCTTGAAAAAATGCTTGCAAAAGTCAGAGAATTGAATGGGGCCAGCAAGTGCATTGTGTTTGAGGTCAATATTGTCAGAAGAGACTGAGGCCTAGGGAAATGAATGGCCAACCTGAGGGTATACTACTTCTTAGTGTCAGGAATGGGCCCACATCTGAGTCTCCTAACCCCTAGGCCAGTGGGCTTCTCTCCATGGTCCACCAGCTCAGCACATGTGTAGCACCACGTGCTCCTAGGGCCTCTCTTTGCATATGGAAGCAAATGATGATGTCTTTCAGGTGCTCTGTTTTATGGGCTGCCTGAAAGCTTTAGGTGGCACACGTGTGTGTGCACACACACATGTGAAACCCATATATAAATCTGTTTTGCATTCCTTTTCCATTGCCTACCCTAAATTTAAACTGGAAAGTCTATGGAAAAATCAATAAGCCATGGGTTTGACATAAAAGCACAAATCACATCTCTCCCCGGAGTCTGGGAAGCTGTACAACCATAACACCAAAGAAATCCTCTGGAGGTTCCTATTTTCTCAAGATCTGGTTGAGATTTGAGTACATATTGTATTCATTTTAAAGGGAAGAAAAATCTGCAAAGTGGAGCACTCTCAGCAGCCCATCTGTTGTGGGCCGGCAAGGGGCTGATCTGGAACCAGGAACTGGGAACAGAGCAGGGGGTGTGGGTGTCAGGCCACACAGAGTTTGGAAGCCTGCCAGGTCCTGGTCCTACTAAAACCTGAAAGACCAACAGAGCTGAGTCGTCACTTCCTGCCCCGCCTCCCCAGGGCACAATGGGAACACTGTTGTTGTGTGCCCCGCTCAGCATGTGCAGAAGTTGAAGTGAGCTTTGTTCTTTACTGTTTATCTTGGAAATCGTGAAGGTGCACAGTGACCTACACCAAGTATGCTTGGTATTCCACAACAATCTCAGCACAAGCCACCCAGGCAGGCAGAGCTCACACTTGGAGACCCTGGTGGCTGCTGTCCAAGTCCTACCACTGGGTTGTCCCTGAGGTTTTGGTGACCTTAAGAATCTATTATGTTTGTCCTTATTGCTGGCAATGATTATTGGGCCTTCTTTGCTGCCTATCAACATTTATTTTTCTTCTTTCTTTTTTTTGGCAGCAGGGATTGAATTCAGGGGTACTTATCAACTGAGCCACATCCCAAGCCCTTGTAATTTTTTACTTTGAGATGGGGTCTTGCCATGTTGGTCAGCGCCTCACTAAATTGCTGAGGCTAGCTTTGAACTCGTGATCCTCTTGCCTCAGCCCCCACCCCCCCTCCCCCAGCTGCTGGGTTACAGGTGTGCACCACTACACCTGGCTCTCCTTCATTTTTGAACTGTTTTATGTTATGAATAAGGAAAAGAATTCCACTAGATTCTAAACTCCTAAGAAGAGGCCTATGTCTAATCTTTTGAGTGAAGAATAGGTGCCCCCCCCCATATTTAAAAACTTTAACAGTTAATTAAGCCACTGACAGCCATGTAAAACAGTGTAAAACAGCCATATAAAACAGCCCATGGTGGACCACAGAGTACTGGGTCTTTGGAACCATGTATGAGTACAGCCAGTATTTAAAAATAAAACATACTTGGCCCATGGGCTGCCCTGTCACAGAATTAATGTGCTATTTAGCACACTGTTGAAATTGGCCTTAGCATCTCTGGCTTTGTTTCTTTTAGCAGAAACTACCTCCTTCAACGTTCCTGATTTCCAGAGGGTGCTTTCCAGCACCAGCACATGACTCCACACTGCCAGGAAAATGTGGGAGCGCCCAGGAGATTGAGCCTTAGGACAAGCAAATGAGAAAGCCTCAAGTTTATCATCCAGTGCCATAGTCATAACATCTGATATTTGAAGAGAAGACCAAAGATGACGGGAATGAAGAAACAAAGTGGGGGAAGGAAATAAAAATAATGGGGGGCGGGGAGGAGACCAGGTGAAAGGATGAGTATGAGGCAAAATAGGACCTTCCGATATCAGGTGCACCGAATTTTTAAACCTTTCTTTTATCCCTCATCTACCCCATCTCCACCCACAGAAACACAGATTTCCTTCATTAAAAGGTCCTGGGAGAAGGGAGAGAATTTTCAGTGAAAACTACTTCCTTCCCAAAGCATAGCTATTGTTTAGAATACTTTCGAGCTTTCCTTATTCTACCTTATAAATATTGTTGAAATGTATATTCTGGGTTGTTTATTAGAATGTCTTGAATGAGCAGAAAATTAATAAAGGAAGCAAATTTGGCAAAAGGTACTCTTTTTAACAGTCGAGGTTAAGGGTTAGAGGTTTTAAATGAAAAGACTTCACAAATCTTTGTCTGCTTATTCTTTTTTTTTTATGGTTAACAAAACTTGACATCACATTAACAGGACTCAACACTAATTTGTAAACCATTAAAATGAAAGATAATTTTGCTTGATAAGTATGTCATCCACATGTAAGATTTTCTATTACATTATATTAATATATCATCTTTCATTTAGGAGTGTACCAATGTGGCGTTTCCCCACTAGAAAAAAAAAAAAAGAGAGAAAGCTGCCCAGAGAAAATTAAAGGGCAGAGGGTTTTGCCACTGGAAAATGCATCACATCTAAGCACAATTTTAAAAGGCTCATATTTGCCTCACTTATTATAGATCTGTAAGTTGACGATAATACTATATGGCTTTTGTCTTTGTCTGTAAGATCGCTAAATTGTCTAAATTTCTGCAGCAAGAGGCAGACATTTTTCCTTTTCTTTGACTCTGTTTTCCAACCTACTGGGTAGGCCCTCCATATCTCCTATTTCACGTGCTGTGTCTGTGTCTCAGAACGAGAGCAGAAGCTTCCACTAACTCATAACAAGCCAGGCCAATACTGAAGAGGGCTCTGTCCTACTTCATGCTGTCCCCTTTCAGCTAGCCTCTTCCTTGTGAGAAAGTACAGAATGTGGTCAACAGTTCATGAAGAGGGAATTATATTGTGAATCTTAGGCACCATCAATAAACGCCATTTTAAAGAAAAGATACTTCAGAAAAGCAAGCTGAACATGAGTTTCAGAGTCAGAAATCATGAAGGTTTGGGGCTGAGATTGTAGCTCAGGGGCAGAATGCTTGCCTCGCATGTGTGAGGCATTGGGTTCAATCCTCAGCACCACATAAAAATAAACAAAATAAGGATATTGTGTCCATCTACAACTAAAAAATATATTTTAAAAAAATCATGAAGGGGTTTACACCTATCCCAGCCATTAGAAGCTGGGTGAATTTCTTTATAGCACCATTTTTTTTTATCCAAAAAATATTGAACATAATATCTATGTCACAGGCTCATCATGAATATTTACTGTGGTAATGTATGTAAAGAAACTAGTGTCAACAGGCTCCTGAGATTCCCGGCCATCTCTGGATAACATAATGGAAGAATCTTTTCCACAAGAGGAGGGAAATAAATGCACTATGGCTAGGAGGAAAAAGATACGAAAAGTAAACACTTAGAATAAAGCAACCTGATGCTGACACCAGAAAAGGCGGCTTCTGATGTCCATCCTGTGGACAACTAGAGAACAAAGCAGATACTTACGTCAAGAATTTCCTTGTTGGCTTTTGGAGACGTGGCTTCTCTTAATTCTTTGATTGCTACCGGAATTTTAACTTTCTCACCTTCTGGAATCCAGAGTCCCTGAGATCAAGAGAAAGAGAAGACATTAATTGGTGATTATCACACCGTGCAATATGTTGTCTTGTGTGCTAGAAGGATTTTATTAGTGACAATCCTAAGTGGAGCCACAGCTCTATACACTGCAAGGCCAACTGTGACTTCTAAGCATCTCTTTAGCTATCAGGTGCATGAATCAGAGTACAAAACCTGCTTGGGCCAGTTGTGAAGTCAGTGTGGATCACTTAGTCCAGAATTCTAAGATGCTTTGAATCTAGGCCTAACTAAAACCAGATTTTAAGCAAACAGGAAAAGGAATGAAGCATATTAGGAAGATCCTGTTCTGACCTGGACTTTATTTTGATGCTTAATGCAATGACAGGCAGCTCCCCTTCTGTATTCACCTGCTACAGCCTCCTGCCTGTGCCACACTCCCCTCGAAAGGTCAATACCATCTTTAACAATGCTTTTGTCCCCCAAAGACCACTTATTTGCATTGTGGCTATAAAAGATTTCTTCTCAATGACTTGGAAAAACATTGGAGTTTCCCAAGCCCTCAGCCAAGCAAAGAGAAGAGATGATGAAAATCAGTGACACACTGAGGACTTGTCACTGACTGGGTCATGGTGAGCCCCGGGGTTTTACTTGTCCCCATGGTTGTTACCTTATACACAGTGCCAAATGCTCCTGAGCCCAGTACTTTTATCTTTTTGAATTCTGTTTCCTTTAAGATCCTCAGGAGAGCTTGGTTGGGGGCTTCTCCACTGGGCGTCAGAGGCTCCACAAGCTGTGAAAGAGAAGGGAACAGATCTAAGATGCTAGTTCAAGGCACCACACCAACAGCAATGTGGGTGCTAGATGGGTCCAGAGCACGAGCAGCCAGAATCCAAAAATACGTGGTCACCTTTTAGTACAGAGCACTCACCCTGCTTATTCAAAAGGACAAATGGACACTTTCTTTAAAGAACTTGATAAAACACGATAGGAACAGAGCTTCTCTGATATATCCACATTCAACGAAAGCAATTTCTATTTCCGTTTGCACACCAACTAGCTAGACTGAAAAACTGGTGAGGAAAATTTGTATATGGTGGTCATTTTTGTCATTTGTGGGTCCCCAACACAAAATACCATTATGCTTATGAGGGGCACTGGCTTCTATCACAGTACTGGACACAGATGCCAGCTTCAGGCTGTGTGAAGGATCACACCAATCTCAAACAGAGCTTAAAGGAGCAGCCACTGGTGTGGATGGTGGCCTTTTCCAGAGTGACATCTTATCTGACCACAGTGGCTTGTTTACAAGTAGTCATCTCTTGCCAAGCCTCCTCCTATGTATACGCAGAGGTGCTGCATCCTGGGCCTCTACTCTGCTTTGTAAGCATTTCATAGGACTTAGCCCAGAAACATTTACATTTCATTGTCTAGAGGTAACAAAATGTAACTGAGTAGAACTGGATACCTAAGAATTTTTTTCTCATTCTTCCATTATAACAAATAAGCATAATAATATAATTATATATTTGCTGTTGTTTGGAGAAGTGCTTCAAAGGTCCAGGTGTTGAAGGCTTAGTCTCTGGCCCATGGTACTATTGGGAGGTGGTGAGATTTTTAGAAAATGAAGTTTAGTGGGAGGTCTATATGTCACTAGGGGTGTGTATTAGAAGAAGGAGACAGTGGGACCCTGGTCTCTTCTTTCTCTCTTTTTCACTTCCTGACATGAGGTGAGTGATTTTATTCTGCCACATGCTTCTACCATGATGTGCTAACATAGGCCCAAAACAATGGGGCCAACTGATCATGGACTAAAAGCTCCACAAATGTGAGTCAAAATAAACTTTTTTTTCTTTATAAGTTGATTATCTCAGGTATTTGTTATAGTGATGGAAAACTGACTGAAACAACAACCAAAATACAAAATTGCAAGTTACAAATTCTCAAAGGAAGATTCTTTTTTCTCTCTAGAGCAGTGTTGGTTCCTAATGGTGCTTCTGGCCCCAAGAGAGCCAGGCTCCTGCACTCACCTCTCTCTCCTGCAGCAGTCTACGCAGCGTGCGCTTCCTGACAATGTGACGCCTTCTCATGAAAAGGCCAATCCCAAGGGCCACTATCACCAGCAAGAAGAGACCACCCACAATCCCAGTGGCAATGGATGGGATCTTGGGTCTGGAATAAAATGGAAAGACAAGAAAGATTGAGGTTTGCTTCACATTTTCTGCACTTTTTGACACATTAATGTCATTTAATATTTTCTCAGAAAGTAGGATATTGTGTAGCTTCTAAAGGGAGAAAAGTCATCTCACTGATTCCTAGGACAATATTTCCAACATTTTCAGCTTCTCTCTTCCCAGCCTAGCCCCCCCGTTTTTCACTTTGTAAACTGAGGTCTCATCTCTCCACATGGTGACAATTTTTTTTAAATCTACTGATTAAGAAAATATACAATTTAAAAAATGATTCAGACTTTAATAATGCTTTTTATATGAATCTGTATTTTGTTCTTTCCAAGAACATGCTGGTTCAAGTGAAGATATTGTCTCCCTGCCAGGTTTGGTGAAAGAACCTTCCAGAAACAATAAGATCCCTAAGGGGTCCTTGGTTTTCAAGATGGATCCCACAGCTATGTGAACTGCTCTATGAATATGCCTGATGAGGGTTGTAAAGTGATAGGATTTAGACAAAAAAGCATCATTGTTACAGTGAATGTTTTCACGTAGCCTCACACCCCAGTGCATTAACTCCTGTGTCTTACCAAGGTCATACCTAATTTCAGAAAGAGGAAAAAAATCAGAAGTCTGTTTTTTCAGCTCACTGGAGGAAGGACCATATGAATTAATAATATAAATAGCTGTATCTGGAGTCTTTACCAAATGATTGTTTTGTGTGTGTGTGTGTGTGTGTGTGTGTGTGTGTGTATTGCTGGCATGAAAATTATTATCCTACTATGTCTATTCTAATAGAGTTCCTGGTAAATTGATTTTTATTTTTGGGTAGAGATGTTAATGAATAGCAAAGATTAATTAGCACTATCATTTGTCCATTAAAAAGATGCCAAAGTCCTTGCACATTTCTTTTAAGTGGGTCAAATGAATTTATAAAAATGATAGTTCACAACATTTTTCTTTTTAGAAAGGGCAAAAGTCATCTCCAGCACTGCATTCCAAATCCCAAATTAATAAAGTTTGAATTAATGAGTTTTTACTATATTAAAGGGCACACTGGAAGATACAAGGAATAATTTGTTCCACAGTATGAGTTCCATGGGGGACCACAGTAGTAAGAGTGAGTGATTGAGAAGAGAAAAATATTAAAAAGAGTATATATTGCTGGGTACAGTGGCACATGCCTATAATTCAAGCTACTCTGGAGGCTGAAGCAGGAGGGCTTATCTCAGTGGTAGAGTGGATTCAATCCCCAGAATCACACACCCACACAGATGTAAAATTACAAAAAATTGAATTGATTAGTTTCTAGGTGGGGTGGTGATGGAAAATCTCACTGAAGGACATGGAGAATGTGATTCTGCAATCTGTACACGTGGTAAAAATGGGAGTTCATAACCCACTTGAATCAAATGTATGAAATATGATATGTCAAGAGCATTGTAATGTTTTGAACAACCAATAAAAAAAATAAAAATAAAAAAATAAAAACCTGAAAATCCTCCACTTCCAATCTGACCTCAAAATCAAATGCCTTATTAGGCTGAATACCCAAATCTGGCCACAATTCAAATTAGACAATCTACATCAATGGCCCGAGTTTGGAAACTTTGATCAAAAAATTCTCCAAGATTTGGACAATTTCCTCCAATGAAATCTCCAAGATTTCTTTTACCTTCACTCTAGCCTTCATTATACCAGCCCTGCTCTACTCTAAAACTAATCCTCACTAACCCACAACTCCCTTCCTCATTCATAGCTCCCAAAATGGCAGGTAAACACTCTCCTTAAAGACCTCAGGGTCCCTCTGCTCCCTCATCCCACTGCCCTCCTCAAAACCCACACCCAAGCGCCCTCCCCCCTCCTTTGCCATCACCTCCTCTTACACAATCTAAAAACTCTTCCTGTGAAACACATGTCCCTTTCTGGGAGATGGCAGGGGCTAAAAGGATTGTTCCCTTTTCTATGACTTTTTTTTTTTTTTTTTTTTTTTTAATACATTCCAGCCTGGTCCTGGTCTTAGTGCCAGGTCTTAAGCCTCCTGATAATTCCTTACTTGCTGGGATTGAACCCACAGTCTGGGATACCTGTCAACCCAAAATTGCTTAACACCATCCCTCTATTCAAATCCAACTAAAAGACCCCCCCCCCCTCAAATCTTGCCTGACTATCACCTGGGGAATAAAACTGATCTCAGGAGGAAACATAAATTATAGGACCACACCTTAGGAGACTGATCTTATAAAGGAAAAATGGTTAAAATGCCCTAAGCATGAGGAGTAGCTCAAAGAGCAGATTCCCTTGGCTCCTGCCAGATCTCTATCTCACCAAGGCTTGCATTGAAATGCAAATTGCAGAGGCCTGCTGATCTTACAGTATTTGAGATCAGAGGGTGAAAAAATATGCCTCTTTAAAAAAAAAAAAAAAAGAAAGAAATGGTCAAGTCTTCTTTACCTTGAGAATCTTTACCTAATTATTTAAGAGCTCTACCTTATTCTTTCAATGTCTGAATTCACTGTAATCCAAGTCAAAAGTAAACCCTGATCTGATAAAAATGTTCTGCATGCTCCTTTACTAATTACAGCCATGCTATTTTTTTTTTCTAGGACACTTGTTTTTTGTTTTTTTTAGTTCTATATTTTTGAGCTCATGATTTTATGATGAATTCACATATGATTCTGTGTGCCTAAATTAATATGTTTTTCTGATCATTATTATTTTATCCAACTATAGCAGTTCTTGCACTCTGTTGTGTTGTTCAGAGGCCAATCTTCAAGGGTTAGCTCTCATCTACACTGGGAAAATGTCAT